TTTCGGCACCCCTCAGGGGTGGGTCAGGCGCTGGGCGCGCAGTTTGACCTCTTGGCTTTGCGCTGCGGCGTGTGGCCCCCGCCGAGCGGCAAAGAAACCCTGAACTGGCCAGCGGGGGGTTCGCAGGGCAGTGGCCATCGGCTGGCCGAGTCTCCATGGAACCCACAAGTTTTTGGGAGCATTTCGAGGGCACAGGCGCAGTGTGGCTTGCAAAGCGATCGGCGACCGAATCTGTGCCTGCATCGAGCCCGTCGAACGCGCAAGGAGCGCGCCCTGGGGACGGCCCACAGGGTGGCTCCGGAAGCAGCGCGAATGCTGCGGCGCATGTCGCCTCTCATGGGCGCCCATTCCCACCATCGGCGGGTACCATTTCAGGCGACCACGGGTGATAGGAATGGTCGCCTGCGAGGCGCCATTCCTGCTGCGCCTCTTGCGCTTCGCGGGCGCCCATTCGCGTCGCCTGCGGAGGCCGTTCCAGGCCACCGCGGAGGGCGCAAATGGGCAGGCGAATGAGGGCGCGCCTGTCGCGCCTATCGCGCCTATTGGCTGGCCATTCGCGCCACCGACCGGGGCGATTCAAGGCAGCGCGGGCGGCGCGATTGTGCGCCCGCGAGAAGAAAAATCTTGCGGCGCATTTCGCTCCTCGTGCTGGCGCCCGCCCGGGCCACCGGCGGGGCCCATCCTAGGCCACCGCGGGCGGCGCGAATGGGCGGCCGTGAGGCGCCGATCCGGGCGCTCCTCCAAGGCCTCGCGGGTGGCCACTCGGGCAGGCCCTGCTGGTCGCCCACTACGCCAAAGGACCCTCAGTTTGCTGGGCCTCCGAGCGGGCTACAGCCAAGGCCACCCGCTGGTACTCCACCCGCAAAGGTCGCGCTGCGACAATGATCGCGCGGCAGAAATATTCGCGGGGAACAAAAGTTCGCGGGAGAAAAATTTTCGCGCACAGACGAGTGCGCGAAAATATTTCTCCGCGATTTTTTTTTCCCGCGAAATACGCGAAATTTTTCTCCGCGAAAAATTTTCGGTGTACAGTATGTTGGAGGGAAAATGTAGAATATTCCGTATCATTTTGATTTGTGACATTGTCAATTAACAATGTGCTCAATAACTAAGTACCAACGACATCTCAATACTGATCGTATTTACGGTTTTACACATAAAAAGAGTTTTTACGTTTTTATGCGTAAACATGCGTAAAAATACGCAAGTACAACGTAAAAACTGCCTGGTGCACATAAACACAGTACATGCAGACTTGCGGAGTCCGGAGAATGGCAGCCAGATGCCCTGGAAAGGGCAGAAAACGAGTTTTTGTTAAGCCCATCATCGCCCTTGCCAAGGGCGATGTAGACATTGTGCTGCGGGTGCTGGATATGGCGGAGCACTGATCATTGTACCCAACTTTCATCGTGTAACCTGGGTGTCCCAGGGAGCCGTAAAAATGTAAAAATAGCCATAACAATAGGCCCTTTTGCAGGTTTACGTTTTTATGCGTAAAAACGTAAACGTAAACGTAAAAACCAAGCCTGGTCCCAGGCATGGAACCAAGCAACAACGGGATGGATTGCAGATATGTGTGAACTAATACGGTTGGTACACCAATCAAAAGACCCTCTCTGGAAGCATACTCTGATCGCACAGCCCGCATCTCCATAGCCATTTCCACATACTCAACAACTTCACTGCAGGCTTGGTTTTTACGCCGTAATAACTGATCATATTTACGTTTTTACGCGCAAAAATAGTTTTTACGTTCTTACGCGACAAAATGCGCAAAAATACGTAAATACAACGTAAAAACTGCCCGGTGTACATAAGGACAGTACACATAGACTTACGGAGTTTGGAGAGGGGCAGGGAAGGGGCCCTGGAAGGGGCAGGAAACGAGCTTTTGTTAAGCGCCATCATCGTCTTGCCCACGGCGAGGTGGACATTGTGCTGCGGGTGATGGAGTCGGGGGAGGACTGATCATTGTCCGCAACTTTCATCGTATAACCTGGGTGTCCCAGAGAGCCGCGAAAACGTAAAAATAGCCGTAAAAAAAGGAACTTTTGCAAATTTACGTTTTTATGCTGAAAAACGTAAAAGTAAAAACGTATACTGTTTTGGATTAAAAAAATACACTTCATTTTCTGCTGTTATGCAATCGCCTTACCAAGCGCCAGCACAAGGCACACTGTTGTGAAGGATGCCTCGCCGCCCGACAGCGACTTCATGTCCTCCACGCGCTCGCCCTGGTGGTGCATCTGGACCTGCGGATACCGTGCAAACACAAAGTACTGGGCACAGCTGCAGTCGCTCAGATCGCTTAAGTACTGGACACGGCAAGCCCTGTCCGAGTTCCTGCTGTACTGGCCGCATTCGACGCTGTTTGTGACCGGTCACAAACGGTCGTAAGCAACAAGGGCGATTGCCAGCCACTATGGCCACCGTCACCACAGAGTGTTGTGACGGCCTTTCCTGCAGACGGGTTAGCCCTGATGGTATTGCTGCAAAATGTGACATGAAATGCCCAAGTAGATCCACACCTGAAGCCGGTGTACCATTTTCGGCAAAATGCTGGTACAAAAACATTGCTGTAAGCAATGTCTGTACATAGCATGTGCAATACTTCAGTGCTATTAATGCCAACTGAATAACACCAATACATCACTGTATTGAACCAAACATTGAATGTTTCACCCTTCACCTTGGGAGAGATGATCGCCTTCTCATGGTCGAAGAACAGCTTCCCAGAGCTGCCGCGCTGTCGCATCATTTTGGAGAAGACCTTTGCAACGGTCTGCTCAACAGTGTGAGTTATTTTCTCATAAACGTGCTCGCGTTTTTTTATTCCTTCTTCTGTCTTTTCGACGACCTTGGAAATGCTTTGCTTACTCCTTTTCACTGATGCCATCTTGGATTCTTTTTCCTCCATTAACTCCTGTCACAGGAAGCCAGAAGGAAACAACAAACACTTTGACTTCAACACTTCTTGTGAGGAGTGAAATTGAAGGTGAGTGGGCAGGACTTCATGCCTGCAGTAATGCACTGTCTTTGTTTCTTGCGGCCCTCAAGGTAAGTTGTATTGAAGCATACTGCATTTGATAGTGTTGTGGTTCTACATAAGTTTAATGTGTGCATGCACACAACATGTGGTACAGGCTCCGCTTCACATATGCCTCTATTCAATTATCTTGCAACTTTATCTCAGATTTTGAGTTCCAAGTTCCAAGTCTTGGTCTGAAGAGGCAACTGATATATGTTTCTTTATGAAACTTGAACGAAGCTACGTGTCAGTGCAACACACAGTTCTGTGTGAATGGTCCTAACATGGTCAAGCATTGTTACATGTGATTTGAGTGTATGCTGCTCCACTCTGTACATTACAGACATCGCTTAAGATCCACTGTCCAATTGCATTGTCTTGTTGATGTGCTTCTGAAGTATTTCTTAGAATTCTTTTCCAGGCTCATTGCCCCATGACTTGTCAATAACCATTCAGCCCAGGAAGGCAAATGCATGGCAAGTATCCATTGTGAGGATGAAGACAGCCTGCCGTGTTAACAAGTTTCTGCTGCTGGCAAAGACCTCCTCAATCCACATGGTTTGCAATCGTGTTTGGAAACTATTGTATTACTGAAGCTGCGCGTGGCAACCACACAAAACCATTAATTGGCACGAACATTAAGGTGTCTATTCTACTTAATAGCTGTGGTAAAAATCTTTTTTTCATTCTGTTTCCTGACTGTCCCCTCTGGGATCCCTGCTTCCCGAAGCGGGTGCCCACGAATCCTTTCGGTCCGACCTGGACCCGCAGATCTAACACTGTCAACGTTCGACCACTTTTCGCCTTTCTATCCCTGAGTGTCACCATGCCCCCCCTTTCCAGCTTTGTCAGCTTATCTCAGGGGTATAGTACCCCCCAGCCACCCTGATTTCTGCACCATTCGAAGTGACTTTACTGATGCCCCATTTCTTTGGTAAAATTCATTTGTGTTGTTGCATATTCCTCAAAGCTATACCAAATCGGATCAAGTTGTGTATCCTGATTGTGACTCCAAGGCCATTTTCCCAATTTCCCCCTTTCCCCTAACAAGCAAACGAGTACAATCCATACCTCCAAGTTCAAGGCATTGCCACCCCCGTTTCTCTCCTTCTCCTCTTGCATCTTCCTCTGCTTCTTCATCTCTCTCTCCAACTTGTCTGGTGTGAAAAAGTCATCCATCTCCACATCGCAGGCAACCCTGTCGCCGTCCCCATTGATTGTTGCCTGCAGCCAGTCGGCCACGGTGCGTCTGGATGCTTCAACAGCACTGGCATCCAGGCCCATCTGCACAGGCACAAACATTGGTTTGGGAGAATATTGGAGAAGACTCATTACATTGTAGAACAGCTTTTCTTGAAAGGCTGATCGCAGCAGAACAATTTTACAGGCAATTGGTACAATTACTGACCAAAATGTTGTCCCTTCTGCTGCAGGCCCATGCCTTAGACGTTGGGAGCATGTTGGGTGCTGTGTGCATATTTCAAGTCGTTTCTGACATGCCAGTTCACGTTGGCCTATTGGACTGTAAATCGGAAATGGTGCATCACTGACTGCTGACAAGCTGTGTGTCATGCTGGTAACGACGTCACCACCTCGTCCAAGCCGGTCAACCAGTGCAGTCTGGCAATGGAAGTATGCCCAATGTCTTGCGCCAATATAACTAAAAGGTTGCTGGCTCCCTTGTAAGTTTTCGGTCGAGAGAAATTCCCTCCAATCAGGAAGATAGTAGAAAGCAAAGAAAAATTTTGGATACTTCAATCACAAGAAAGGAAGCAAAGGAGCCATTACCTTTTGTTGCTCTTCAACTGCCCTTTTGATACTCTGCTCCAGTTTTGCCTTTTCTTCTTCCCGATCTCTTCCCTGAGGAATGTGCAACACCGAGCACGTCACTGGATATGCACTAAGAAACATATGCATTATTACACAAGCAACAATAGCAATAGATACAGTCAACTAGTGTACTTAAATTCAGTTTTATTAGCTAAAACTGAATTGCATCTTATAACTCATTTTTCCCAATCAGTGCAACTGTTGTTATCTTTATACATGATTCGATTTCTTTAGCCCATTGTACAAGTCAAGAAAAAGAATTAACAAAGGGGACGACACCTCGAGTTGCCTCTTTCAGCACGGGTGCCACAGAATAAATCACCAAGCAATGGATGTCTGTATCAAACAAACCAAATGCCAACAATCGTGCATTCAAAAGTGGACCAAAAATTCTCATCCTGGTATTAGGTCTATAGTTCAGCTCCAATGTTTCGCCCACATTGACAGTGTCTTGGGCGCTTCTCCATCAGCTTTTTAGGCCAGTGAATGTTTCATTCGTGCTTTGCACCCAATCGCCTGAAAATACACCTTTCAGGCAACACTGCTGCAAGGCCAGAACATGAACTACTCATCAAAATACAAAGTACACAATATACATCAAGTACAGTCTGAGCACTCAGTCCGGGGCTCCCATGCCTGAAACTGCCAATGCAATGTCGGGCTGTTCACCCTTTAGTAAAGGCCGGGATTGGCTCCATGAGTGATTCAGAAACAAGCATCTACTTTGGGTTTCAGCCCCACCTGAAATAGCAAGTGATTAGATTGGCCTCATCCAACTGATTTATTGCTGTTGTGTTTCATTCAATACTATGGAATGTATACACCAAAATATATGTATCTGGATATGCACAAACTTCGGCAACTCGACATATCGTGACTGCAAGCAGAAACTGTGTACATGGTCACTTTTCCTGGTACCAGTCTGGTGCTGAACTCCCAACACATTTGTCAGAATATGTATGAATCCTACCTATTCCTTTCATCAGGCTTGGTTTTTACGTTTACGTTTACGTTTTTACTTTTACGTTTTTACACGTAAAAACGTAAATTTGCAAAAGGGCCCTATTTCTACGGCTATTTTTATGTTTTTACGGCTCCCTTGGACGCCTAGATTATACGATGAAAGTTCCTCACAATGATCAGGCCTCCACCATATCCAGACCCGCAACACAGTGTCCACCTCGCCCTTGGCAAGGGTGATGATGGTGTTTAACAAAAACTCGTTTTATGTCCCTTCCAGAGCGTCTGGATGCCACTCTCCAGACTCCGTAAGTCTGTATGTACTGTCCTTATGTACAACGGGCAGCTTTTACGTTGTATTTACGCATTTATACGCGTAAAAACGTAAAAACTGTTTTTACGCGTAAAAATGTAAATACGATCAGTTTCTACGGCGTAAATACCAAGCCTGCCTTTCATATTCGTTTGCCTACATTCCCTTGTCTTCATTCCTTTCTCTCATGCTCATAGCATATTTCCTTACAACATCAATTTCTTGACGGACTGCTTAAAGCTGCTTGCTACCCTCTTCTGTGCCAAGTTGGTGTCAGGCTCAGTATGTTATTCCACTTGCTTTTACCGCTATTCTTGGAATCAAATGCTACTTGCGTGCTCGTACTTGAGCCTCCTTCTCCTGTTTCAATTCCTGGAGCTCTTCCAATTCCTTTTCTGCATCGACCACAGCAGTTGCTGCTTCGCGCAAATCTTTCTCCGCCACCTGGAGGCTGTCATCGAGCGTCTCCAGTTCGGCGTGGCTGCAGCAATCAAATTCGATCAATCCTTTATTATTTTCTGAGCTGTTGACATAGTAACCTGCATTGTTTTGTACATTTTGTTGTATATTTTACTTCATGACGTACCTCAGTCTGAAGTACATGAATGTATTTTGAGGTACATGAATGTAAAAGATACATAAACATGTACAAAACAATGCAAGTTCACTTGGTTTTACTATAATTTCCTGCCAATGTCTGACTAAATTTGTTCATGGCTATTGATTCATTCTGTCATTTTTAAAAATGCGGTTCATTTGCTCTTCACAATTCGTGTTATTGTAATTTTCTGCGAATGTTCAGTTATATTTGGTGCGCCTCTTATGAGAACGCCCTCTATTATTTGCGCTTGGATGCACTCCCGTGTGTTTATTACTACTTTTATAGTACTGCCAGTGAATATGGTCAAGAATATTGTCGAAAATTGATAATTTATTTGATGCCAGCTGAATTGCAAAGCACGCAGACTGGGAAACGACATAAGAAGGGATATTGTGGGGACTAATCTACTCTGTGCAATCGACAGGCTGGACATGGAACATGGAACAGATCACAGATTAAGATACTACTGTTGAAATGAAGAATACAGTGCTTACCATTTACGCATTCAGTATATCCAGTACTTTGTGCACACATGTTCAAAGTTGTCAGTGCTTGGCGTTCAGATTCAGTCCAGACACGCTGCAGCGAACATGAACGACTAACTGCCACCGTCTGTGCAACAGAATGCGGGCCTGATTGGCAATTGGGACGTGCCTTGGCTGGTAGCACAACACGAAGTTGTCATATCATGAGTACAAGACACAGTACTTAGCTAGGCACAAAACACAGTAGTTTAGTAGCGTTGTATTACTTCAGCAGATTGTTTTGACTTTGTAGTAATCTGTCGTACCTAGTAGTTTGTCCGACATTGGGCAACGCAGGTACAACGCCCCGTGACTACAAGGGTCATTGTCAGTGCAACATGCATTCATAATTGTCAGTGGTTCGTTCAGAATTGCTTAGGTTGATTATTACATCTGTTTTACTCAATAACTGTCACCAAAAAAAAAGGCGCAAAGGTTTGACTTAAGATAGTAAATCGAAGCCCTGCAGCGAGTGTGAACACACCTTTTTGTTATTTCCGCTTTCACATCCTCAAGTTGCCCCTTCAGCTCTTCGAACTCGGCCTGAGACTCCTTGGCCTGCAGTCGAGATCAATTTTAAGCAGTTTTCATGGCGATTGTAAGAAGACACTTTTCATAAGCTACATTTAAAGAAGAGAATTTATTTTCGGCCTGCGAAGGAGCAAAAGCGCAATGCAAAGCTGCAGAGCTGGCCGCCGAAAAAGTGCTATGAATGGGGGAAACAAAGTTTGCATTGGTCCAGACTGCACTTCACCGGGACCAAGCTTAGGGAACTGGCTGCAAGCTGGGCCATGTATATTCATTTGAAGGCCACTGGAGCTAGGGTTTAAGTGGTAATTTGTCATGTAATTGCTTAAAGCAATTAGCACTTGGGTTTAGGGTTTGAAATTGATCGCTAATTCATCAGTTGTTTGATTGACAAAATCATCCAATTACCTACAGCTTGGGAGCTTGAGGGTTTGAGAGTTTAGGGCTTTTTGGGGTCTTCGGGTTTTAGGCTTGAGGTTAATCACTGAACAGTTCGTTTTACTGTTTGACAAATGGGCGCACGTCATTAGTCATCTTCCGCAGCAAGTCACTGTTGGTCTGTATGGAGGCGGTGAGATCGGCGAGGGCCCCCTCCCCCGCACTCTCAACGACAGGCCCTGCGCTTTGCAGCAGCTCGAACTGGGACTGAGCTTCAAAAAGGGCGTCCTCCGCCTGGGCAGGACAGAGGCAAACACGAACATTAATACACAAATGCACATGCCGTTGCTTGAAATGCGGCATTGGTAATGAAATTGGACTATAAGGTGTTTTGAACCAAAATAATGATCTGTCAGTTTGGAATGAAACTGCTTGATTTTTTGTTTTGCTGCTGAAAAGATCACATCGTTATATTCCAAATACGGAGCAAGAGCCCAACGTACAAGTTAAAAGATCTATGCATTTGCAATCTTCTATTCTTTTTATTGCATCCAATACATTTATTAGTGCAATATGAACTTTAGCACACATTTCAACAGGTTTATCTATCACGAGTCATTCTTCAATAACAAAATATTGTTTACGAACAATGTTTTGTCAATTAAGAATGACTTGCGATTACTTACCACAAATTAACAAATCGCAGGGACGAAAATTCCCAACAGATCATTCGGACCCTCAGCAGAAACAAACAGCTCAGAAAGGACGTAAATTCAGAATCCAAGTTTTCCCTCTCGGACGCACACACTGTTTGGCGAGCAGAAGGACAAAAAATTGGAGAGAAAACCTTTCAATACAAGTTCACGTGATACCAGGCGTTGCTGCATTCGATATTGAATGTATATGTTGTCCACAGCGCCCTGCACGGTTGCTATTCATAGCTGAAATTTCAGATCAGGAAGACAAGCGGAAAGAGGACAATCGCTGTCCAAACAGCGCTCTGATGAACGCAGCCACAAGTGACATATGTATATTTGGCATATATACTACACAAGGAAATGTTTGTTTCGGCATGCTCACAGTGAAAACGCGTTTTTGTTATGAATATTAGAGCGCAAGTGAGTGAAGAAGCACTAGGGGAAACGGCCATTGCTGGGACGCCAAATGACAATAAATGACGCTTACTTGACGCAACTGGGACGCTTCCTCGTCGGAGGAAGCATCCCAGTGGCGTCACTTGGTCTCCAAGAAATGGCCAATTCCACTGGTGAAGAGCATTGCTGTTCCAACCACAGTGGCTGGACAGAAGTGGCTCGACAGAAGTGCCTTTCGTCACAATCAAAACTTTTGGTACTGGAATGCCATCGAAGTTGAAAAAATTGCGTGCATGGTTTTCAGTGCCTGGATAAGCGCTGCGTCTGCAGATACAAAGCGATGCCATGTGCTCGCTCTAGTCTGTTGCGGCTCGTTGATAAACCAACCAACCGAAATTTTTGATCAATCACATAGAAGCCCTTGATGACCACCACAATTTTGACGTTGCATGAATATCCACGCTCGAACAGGTACACCGCCAACACTGGTAGAAAACAGCCTGTTTGCGATGCCAGCTGCGATGCCATTTTGACACAAATTGATAACATCACAGTGAGTGTGATGGCATGAAAGCATCTGTGATGGCATCAATTTGTGTCAAAATGGCATCGCAGCTGGCATCGCAAACAGGCTGTTTTCTAATGGTGCAAGAGCAGTGGTTTATTCTGGCACTGCAAGTGAGAATACGTTAATGCATTCGATCGAGAAATCATTGCAGTGAATCGAACCTAGAAGCAAAGTTAATAATAAAATCTATAAAATGTGCAAATACATCTATAAATCAATAAAGTCCAGAGCTGTCTATATCTCTATCTGTATCTATCAGTCAATAAAATCATTAAAGTCACTGATCGGATTGCTGGTAATTGACCACTGAGCTGGCTTCGTCAATTACTGATTCGTAATCCGATGATTTAAATTAAATGCTGGCATCTGAGAATTTCAATCCAGGGATGCCATCAATATTACAATTGAATGGCTGTCTATGTTTCTTGGTGTTTCGCTTGCAACTTTCCAGGTTACGTAACTGGAGGTCGGTGGCTGAACGCCGATGTGCAGTGAAACTCAGTGAGAAAATGAAACAGAACTGGAGGTCAGAATCAGGAGATGAAAGTCTGCCTCTTGTTCATACAAGGCAACCTTGAAATTTCGCCCATCGAGAGGGAAGGTCACAGTGCTTGCACACACAAAGACAACTGCAGCTGCCATGTTTTGCAAGCAGCTGGTCATATGTAGGTTGACTGATGCACTCGTCGACCTGATCGAGATGGTGGGAGGATGGCTGCCCAACAATCAGCTTCAAATTTACTAATGATTTGGCTGATCGTGTGTTGGTGCTGTGATTTGGAGTTGTGGGTCGTGGGTCAATGCTGTGGGTCGGTGCTGCAGGGGAAGTGTGTGCGTGTGTATGTGTGTGCGTGTGCACGAAGTGTGAGTTCAGTCCGCCATGCTGTGCGTGAGTTTTGGTGGGTGAAAAGTGAGGCGTAGTCTGGTATTTAAAGGGAGCTCGAGACTTGTTCCTGGCCTCTCTTGGTTTTGGTTGCAAGACAAGTTGAGTCTGGCTGCTTGCCTGACCAAACACAGCGAGTGCGTTTGAGTGCCACATGCACCAAACTTGCCACAGAGGCTGAACCAAAAGGGTTTGACTTGTTCTGCGTTGTGGCCCATCGCTGTGCGCATTCGATTGCGACGATTGCGACATGCAGGATATCGAACTGGGATGGCCAAGGAGTTTTGACATCACCAAAGTCTTGAAACAATGTAAATAACCAAGTACATAAATCAAGAATTCGGTAGAATAGGGCACACCTGTACGGTCATCTGGCGAGCTCGATTTCTCTGCCCCTTTGAACTCTCCAATTCGCACTCACTGCGGCATCTGGCATCCTGGCAAGAAGATGGCACCAAACACCTTTACACTATGTTGGCCCTTGTGTCCATAACGAGTGCTGTACATCGATCAATCCGCATACTTTGGAGTTGCTGTTAAGCAAGAAGTGCAACTGTTTGTGTATGTTAATGCACACAACGAAGAAAAGTATTTTGAAAAGTATTCTCTGGCAGTTCGTTGGTAGGAAAGGGAAGGTCTTTGTCCTGCCGGAGCACAAAACACCAGGGAAGACTCCACATCCGGTCGACAACAAGTATCACATTAAACCATACCACACAACTCAGTTCATGAAGAAGGCCAAAATTTTTCTAAGGGGTAGAACAGAATGCAAGGGAATGGAGAACAGCAGGCAAGAATGAACTGCAATGATTGAAAGGACAAACAAATGCAAACGAGAGAGTCTTAACGCCACAAATGGAAATGAATCCCACCTCTGCGGCCTGGAGCTCAGCCAGCGCAGCCCTTCTGCGTTCTTCCAACTCCCGCATCGATTCGCTCGTGTCCTTTCCGAGCATGGGCGTTGGATTTGCGCCCGTGTGCACAGAACCCTGGAGCCATCAGAAGAGAGCTCTTGGGATAAATTCCCAATTTTCTCATACATTTTTTGGCTTGTTTATTTACTCATGTGCGAATAAATCATAATCTTTTAACAACATAAAGTCCTTCAAAGCAAGCCAAGGAGGCAGTCGTCACCTCCCTATTTTGCCCGAGCATTCTCTTATAAGAGAATAGCATTAATTAAAAATAATATAACAATTACAACTAGTATTATTCCCTTAGCACAGCTGCGACTTCTAACCATCCCCTTCCATGCTCTAAACCAGGACCGCAAGTTTCTTGAAACAGGACCAAATCGTGCCCACTACAGATCACAAACTCCTTAGATAATGGCTCGCCTTTTCCAGCCCCATCTTTTACCAGAGTCGTTGGCATTTTCACATCCATGTGAGTGAACATCATTACAGGCAACTTGAGAAATCGACACGCTGGTCATGTCACATGTCTCTGCTGATCTCAGATAGTTGGACGGAGTCCTTCTGCCAGCGGTCGACAATGGCCTCACAATAATTGGCACGCACCTCCACGCCACCCCTGCTGTAGATCTTGCGGCCGTCCGGCAAGTATATGCATGACAGCTGCTGCCCTGTGGGCCCTCGGATGGCTCGCATGGCAGTGGACTCCCTTGCACACAGCCCCACCACTTCTATGGAGCCATAATCTATGAGAATGTTCTGCACGATGTGCCAATTGGGCACTTGGTCGAATCGGAGCACCTGAGAACAGGAACCGATTTCAAGCAAATACTTTTACAACAATAAAGCAACGGTCGCATCTTGTGAATGTTGAGTAGCCAATTGCTTTCAGTATTTATCTATCAAAATACCCGTTTGATATGGAGTTCCTCACAATCACGAAATCACAGATCTTGGGCATTTTCAATCAGGCATATGGAAATACTTGCAAATACATGTGCCTCTACAAAACAGATCAAGCAAATGACAGCTCTTCAGGAATTCTTTGCATTTTATGCTAACCATTTTCCTCACCGTTTACTTTATACAGCAGCAAATTTATAGTCCCAATTTATGAAGTAATAATGTCTGTATCAGATAAGTACATTTCATTCCATTCGCCTGTTTTCTGGCTGTGCAAATTAGCCGAGTGCTTACCTCAAGCACCGTCTCCACCCCCTCAGGCAAATTGGGACGCCTTACATCATCGTATGGCGATCTGTTGAAGCTGTAGATGTAGCACTGAACGCTTGAAGCCAGCCACTTATTTCCCACCGATTTCAAAACGCGCTGTCCACGGTAAAACACAATCAAATCTAAAAAGCAACAAAACGTGAGGAAAACCAACAAAATATGCTGGTTCCACGGAGCATCAATACAAGATGGATTTGCATTGTCACACAGCCATGTGCCTTTTCCATCATTGCAGCCGAGCTTGAGCTCTTTGCTGCTAAACTGCAGCCTCTGCGTGGGCTGTAAATTTGAAGCTGGGCCCCACAAGGCACCACATAAACAAGGCAATCAAGATTATGGAATGTTTGAACAACTGCAGTAAAGGACTGAAGCCCAGGGCCTCGCAACCAAGCGGAACTCAACACCGATTTGAATTCCAATTCAGTTACCACAATAGGGCGCATTTGCTGGGGAGTATCCAATATCCCTGAGGTGGACTTGACATAACGATAGCAGAGTATTACTGATGCAGCATGGTGTGCTGTTGCGGAATTTCTTTGTAGTAAAATCACAAGCGGAATGTCAAGATGTGCCCACGAGGTACCTTTTCAGCACCATTCCAACGCACCCCATCTTGGCGTATCAAACATTTGTTCAATCCACTTTTCATTAAAATAAATCCCAACATGAGGATGAATTACATAGTTAATGCACATCTGTACTTACCAACCTGATGCCAGGAACAAATCGATCATCAAAGCATAATATACAACGTGTACAGCAAGGTATTGCCATGCTCTTTATGTTTAAATCTATTCCATCATCCACATAGACAGCCAACCATGAGCGCTATGCAATATTATGCCATTCCATTTCATGCTGTCTTGGTTAAACTGCACTTGGAGTTGTCTGTAACACCAAACATCAAGCACGCACCTTGAAAACCTTTGCATCATGCATGTCTGAGGCAATGAAATTTCTGAAGGTATGGCCAACGGCATACTGGACGGCCGTGGCCTTCTCTCTGCTGTCAAGGGACAGCAGGGCGCCAATAGGCCCCAGGGGCAGGTGGTGAAATTCGCGCTGAGGAAAGGAACAGCATGGCATCTGTCAGCAATTGTTGAACAATGGTGGAAAAGTGGTGACAGTCCCAACATCAATGCTGATGCAGTCCTATTGCTGTCCTAATTTAGCCCTAATATAGTCCTAATGTAGTCCTGACTGTACCGAATCCTTGCCCAGGGGATTCGGTCCAGTGTCAATACGATTCACCACTGTAATGCGCGAATTCAATGGTTCAAGGAATGGACGAGCTTCTGCCTGTGCAAGCACAGCTTGACATCGCCTGATCATTATTCCATTTTGAACTTATGTTGCCCGGTCTTGTTAATTCTGATGTGATGTGACCGCACGTCCCCCAGAATGTCGTCTTCCTTTGCAGTAGCTAATTCCATAAGTGCAACAATATTCTGCATGCAAGCATTTGGGCATTGGGGATCGTGTTGGCAGCTCCGTTGTCCGCTTGAACTATTGCTGTTGGCTAATTGGCTTATAAAACCCGTACTGACTACACTGCTGAAGAACTGCAGCAAAATTGAAATGGCATGAAAAATACGATAAGGTCCATTTTAGCACGGCATGTAGCTGTGCACAAACTTTCAGCAATTTAAGACAATTTCAAAATTAGAAAGATATCAAATGAACTCTGTGCACAACAGATCTAATGAATTTTTAGCAATTCAACGCGATCTAAATTCGGAAAGAAATTGTGCAATGATTTGTTATGCAGCTTTTTACTTGCCTCATGCTTTTTAATTCTGTCAACAAGGTCCACCATGTCCTGACCTCCCACGATGGCAATGCGACTTCCCCTTGCATGCTTCAGTTTGTTGAGCTGTCTATCCAGGTAACGAGCCTAGGGCAACACGACGCAGTCATTTGAAATCAAAAGAGCATCAAGCTGCTTTGTGTGTTTACAACCATACCTCACAACAACCAAAACATTAAGCATCCTTCTAAGAAGAAGCAACTCTACTTCTGGAAAGAATACAGCAAGTTCTTCCATTAATTGCTGAACATGACAACAAGACAAGAAAGCCAATAAGAAGTATTGTATCCATAGAGTCCGTGTCACAGTAAGCAGCATGTACATGGCCCACAAAACCTGCAAATTCTACAGAACATTGCATGTTCACGAGATATTGTACAAGCTGTGCACACTGTTTTATTCCAGAAATGCGACACGTCATGTTGCAATTAAAACTTATGTACCTGATCTACAAAGCACGCAGCATCAAAATTAAGATACGCAAGGTCTTAAGGGTGCAACTCATCCACGAATCTGAGGTGCAATGTACAGGTTCCCCGGCTTCCACAAAATATCCAAATTGAACCGCATGTTGCACAAGTTCCATCAAGCATACAAAGAACACCACAAGGTGTCACAGACTTTGCACATTTTGTAGAACTGATACACAGCCAGTTGAAATAAGTAATTCTTGCAAACTTTTGTGGATTGTTTGCAGCCGATTTTAGATGCCGTATACTCTGCAACGATTGTACATCTTCAAAATGTACAAGTGCTACAGAGCATACGGCGTCTAACGGCAGACCACACCCAGTGTACAAGAAATCTGCAAGGTCTACTGACGTATCGAGGCTCCAACTTACATCGTCCTGTGCCCTCATCTCGGCCTCGACAGCTCTTTGAACATTGTCCTCTGCTGTGCGAACAGCCTCGTCGAAATCCCTGCCTCCACAATTTCTTTCTTTATGTACATAAATAAACGTTAATTATGTATGTGCACATAATTAAATGCATGAAATGTAGCATCGCAATGGACACAGGGATGCTCTGTTCCTCACAATTTAAAATTGTGTTGAAACTGCCTTTTTTAAATCCAAATTTACGTAGTCAAATGTTGCTCCATACTCACTGAAACATTCTCAGTTGTTTTGTTCGATAACATCAACAGTCAAGCCGTACCTAGTTATCGGAAATCGTGTATCATCAGTGTTGGTGCGATGTCAGCAAATGCGATGTCGGCAAATTGAGGAGAACATATGTACACAAGATTTTGGTGATGCAGATTGTTTGAAATGAAAAACGTCAATGGCCACCGCATGTTTTCGTTTGCGCCAATTTTTGCCAGCGTCATGGACCCACCAATGGCTGCACAAGCTTGAATGCTGTCCCAACGGTGTGCGAGTTCAAAAGGTATATGATGGTGGGCAGCACAGCAGGCAAGAAGCACTAACAACAGAATCCCTCTCACGCAATTTCTGCAGTAAATGTACTGCAACAGTGCTGTAGACACGTATGCACTGCATATTGGGTGCCAAAGCTTCAGTAAACCTTGTAAACACTAATCGTGACCAGTGGACTGGGTGTTAGTGATTTGCATTGTAAAGGCAACAAACAACAGCCAACACAATGCCCATCTGTTGCACAAATACGTGCAGACAAACATGCACATCCACATGTTTGCGTATGCACACACATGGAGCACAACGGATCCAAATGAGAATGAAGTGCGCTTGAGTTTGAGGCTGTGTATGATCACTCTGTGCAACAATACCTATGGTATTTGCACACTTCCTTACTGTGCAATTGGAGCAGTACAAAAGCATGAATATGGAGAGCATACTTTGGGAACGGTGAGCCGAGGACTTAGACAGTATTTCAATTGCCTATAGTAAGTGCCATGCAGAATTTTGCACTGACAACTAGATTTCATGCCCATTTTGCAAATGAGTTGATCACATGCTCATGCAGTAGGTGCTGATGTGCTCTTTTGGAGCTTGTGGCACAGAATTGAGGCCGACCGAAGTCACCTGAATGTCTGTCTGGCCTTCGTTGCCCCTGTCTCACAAGACTGCACCAGATCCTCTGCTTCAGCCATTTGCTTGCGGTACTCCTGCTCACGTGCCTGTGCAGCAAATGCCCCAGGCACATGATTGCCATTTCTGTGGATTTAGTGCCTTCATAAAACATATTGGCACATTGTGCATCTTCTAGCACGCATCCAGGCAATTATGCAGCAGTTTTCATTCCTTGCATTCAACCTGGCCTATGTACTGCATGTCACTCCCAGGTAAGAGAAATTAAACAAACCGAATTAAACAGCAAAAAACAACAATGAACTAACAGTGACAAGAACCTTCTGCGCCCCACTCTGCAGCCAGAAATGGCTTCCGTTCCCACTGCATTGCACAAATGTACCAGCCCAAACTGACAGAAATAAAAGTGACTGCCCAAATGCGCAAAACAGATTTTGCCAAGTGAACTCCACAAATGCCACATCAATGGCCAAAGGGCATCCTGTGCTCAGATGCTCTACCGCTTTGCTGGCTGCGTAGTCCGAATTCATGGACTGCAGCTGGCGTTCGTCCTCACAGACTTCTTCCTTGATCTCAGCTATCTCCTGCCTCAGCCTTTTAGCCTCTTGACCCATTATGGTTTTGGATTTAGTCAGGGACCTACACAAAGCAGTAACAGACCGTTTATGCTGCAAAACAAAACATCAAATATCCAGATTGAACTGCATGCATAACATTCAATCGAGGGGCAAATTATGTAATACAAATGGACGTGTCACTGAGGGGTGGGCCCTCTGGACAAACGTGCTAGCTGTCCAGTAGCCTAGCAACAGGAGCTGCTGTACACGTGTAAAGTACTTCGCTGCTGCATAATATATGTGCAAGCAGTGTGCATGCGCATTCTTGTGCACTTTCCATCAATGTTCACTGGAATTTTGCCATTAGCCCAGTATGTTAGCAAGCAGTAGCAATATGCTCACCACTTGTGAAGAGCTCTATCAACACAAAACATTTATGCAGCGTTCTACTTTCCATTAATACATACAACGTATTGCTTAATTATCACTGCGATTAATTTTCACATCGCTATTCTTATCATATTGTGTAGATAACACAGTACAATAAAACAACATTAAGGTATACTATACTGTTCAACTGCATGTGCTTTCAAATTTCACTTCTTATTTTTGTACCGATAACAGACTATAACTTATAGTCTCCTTCATGTCCCACTTGATAGTATCCTTCAATGATTTTCTCTTCTCAGCAGTGTCCTCTGCACTCTGCTGCATGTCAGCAAGCTTCTGGGTCTGCAAAAAAAGCATCAAAAACCTGTTGCAACAATGTACTGCAATACATTCACATTTGCACAGGCCTGAATGAAAGCATCGTGTTACTGTGCGCACACGTCCAATTTTGTCCCACAATGCAGCGGGGTCTGGTCAAGAAGGTAATCGCGTGCAGGAAAACCATAAGAACATCTTTTATGATCCTGTGTGGAGACAGGTTGATGTGCATGTAGGCTGTTCTCAGAAATTTACAACTTTGCATCAGTACATTGTGTCAATACTTTAGGTTCATGAATTGGCACGATCACCTCCTGCTCCTTTTTCTCTTTCAGGGCCTGTATCTCCTCGAGCTTCTGCTCCTTGCGTTGTGCAAGCCCATCCAGCTCCTGTAGGACCTCCTGAGGACGCCAAAGTAGAAAACAAATGCAAACGAGTAATCAAGACAGTACAAAAAAGAGAAAGGGAGATTGAAAATAACATAAAAAGGAGGGAGAAAAGGGCTTACAAGCTGAATGTGCCCAGGACTTCTGGTTACACAAAAAGGACCAAAAATGAACTAAGGAAGTAGCCTGAGCAGATGGCAGTGGCAAACACAGCTGAAACAGTGTGCCATTTGGGGAATGAAGGTACCTGGGTGAGCCTGTCCTCTAGTGTGGCCAGTTTTCTCCTGCTGTCTTCTTCCTGTGGGTTGCATGCAGCTAGACATAAGCCACAGAAAATTAGGCCAGGCAGTTTGTTATGGATTTGATCTGGACTTTCTTGACACTGCGACAGAATGGTGATTGCGGAATGGACAACATGCACATGCCTTAATGCCTGCCATCGCCCTACACCTGTGCAGGCTTTGTTTCGTCACTGTTCAGTGAACGAAATCAAAGGGCTAGCAGACCAGGCCACAGAGCATTGTTCCATCAATTCAAATTCCCATGCCATGTTCAAAAGACTCTAACTCTGGTACACTACAACCCCATAGGGGCCACAGTGAGTTCAAAGACGTTATCCACTGTGGCTTTGAGAAACTTATGTAAACGTGGACAGTTATAGATTTGGTCCAAAAATCAGCCACCCAGGCACCATTTATTTTCATCAGACAGGTGGTGATTAGGCAATGTGATACATCGCATTGTGAGGTATTAATATGATGCAACTAAACGAGTGCAGGAACCCAATGAATGCTGTTTTTCAATGAATACAAGCCCACCATTGAATGCAAGGTGCAAGGCCCTGCTTTGCCATTAAAGGCAAACTTGAACAAGGATTGTAGCTGCATCCCATTGGCATGGATTATCCAAGGCAGAGGGATGTCCCCTGCGAGGCTCTGGGCATACCCAGGTCCGCATCAATGGAGCACAAGAGTGCCCCTGCGCATGGGGACTCCTGCACTCCATTGTTGCTGAATTGGGCAATTTCTGAAGGAAAGGGGCTGTCCCCAGCCACAAGGCTCTGTTTTCAGCACACAAAGCAAAAGAAACCTTGCCAGGTTCTCTAGTGCAAACACTGTTCAAGCTGCCACAACCTTGCCTTACATGGAAAAACATGGAGGTCTGTGCATTTGAATACTTCTAAAACACATGTACCGACTTTATTGAAGAAAATGGACTCTGCAAATGCAAATTGCCAAGCCCAAGGCTATGAATGAGCTCAAAAGAATGTAATCTGCACCAGTTTCCTCTGCCAGAATTGGCAAAACACCGATCGCAGTGCATACAGCATCCAGCAGCAAGATGGAGGGCATGGGTTTGCGCCCACACCACGCATATGTTGTCAGCCCAGCACACAGCAAATTACCAAAGCACACAGATAGCAGTTGAACATGGCCCCAATTCGCTCTGAGATGCTCTCAGCCTGCTGCAGCTCTTCAAGTCGCTGCCTCAGATATTTGTAGTCCTCTTGCAGGGCCTGCCATGCAGTTTTCAACAAATCAGCAGCTGCAAATGAAGCAGGATGCAAGAGGGTTACAAAAGAAGGGGCAACACCAAGCACAGGCATCCATTTTGCCAGAAGAAGTTTGAATGCAACAGCAATCCTTCTCCAGATACAGTAACGTTGAATGCGGCCACCATCTTTCCCCCTATTATGCTGAGATATATTTCATATCTTCATGTAATGTGCGTCGTAGCCACGTAGTTGATGCAGAGTGCAACTGGCTATTGTGTGCCATGGCACTTGGATTGTCATCTTTCTGTGTTGCTGGATATCCAGTGTCACCTAAAAACGCAGCTACAAGCTTGTTCATTTGTGAAGCCAGAGCTCTGTCAGAAACCCCAGCCTTTACCAATGCTTGCTATCCAGTTTTGTTGCCAGATTCAAAGTGCCAAGAGATTCGAACCTGTTGGATGGTGCTGGGCAAAAGATGGTGAGACTCAGTCACATGCTTTAAAAGATTTGACACATATTCCAATATTCCCAGACATGACAAGCAGATCTGTTGTCCAGGCATTGTTGGCCATGCCATGGACAGCATGATTCGATGATGAGATGCCAACATGATTTGGCTACAAAATGGCATGACTCGATAAAGAGCATTTGCGGACCGTGCAGATGCATGAGTGATTGTCAGCACACCTGGAAAGGGCGGCTGGCCCATTATCTTGTTCAGGAATGACCAATGCCATAAGAGGAATTCACTATGGAAAGTGACCAGTGAATGTATTCGTTTTCCTCGTTTGAGGCAGTCTTCCCCCCCCCCCCCCCACCCCACCCCCCACCCACTTTCATTTCATCCCATCTTTGCTGCTACCCTAAGGTGGGTAGCGTCCACCGAAAATGGCACAGCAACAGCAACAAGTCAAAAGTCGAGTTTTGAAATCTATAAGAAAGCGCAAACCAGAAAGAGCAGAGCCCTGCTGGTGTGTGAGCAAGACACAGTGCCATTTTTTTTTCAATTTTAGGCCGTACCACAATTTTTGTGGAAATTTTTGGAAGCCCTTTTACTTGTGCACCTCATCACTTCGGATGTCAGCTGTCAAGTATTGTTTCAAATGTCATGCATAACAACATACTAGAACTCCTGCACAAGAGCTTTCACCTCTAAATCCCGCTCTTGGATTTCAGCATTGGACTGCATGCTCTGCCTGTGGAGATGTGCATTTTGCATGTTCTCCAGATGCTGCTCGAAGTGTGTCGCCTTCATGTACACTTTGAAGAGATTCTTCTCCAACTGCCCACCTGAGGGCTTCAGGAACGTCCTGGCGAAATCCTTGGCACAGATTTGGCAACTTCAGCAGTGCCGGATTCTCATGGTTGCATTTTGGTCCATGGGCAAAGGTAAGTCCAGCCTTTGCCTTTGCTGTTTCCAGACTATGTAGTACAAATTTTTTGGAATGGAAGAAGCACAGGTGCTTGCAGGGAGAGGAAAGGTGATACCCATGGGGATAGGCATAAACACGGTCTTAGTCATCGTTTTAGTCACAATGTGTTTCCCGGAGTGCTGTCATCGGTGCTGAAAACGGTACTGTTTTCAGGTTGGGCACCAACGCCCAACCACTTCTGGAAAGGAATGGACATTGTGTACACTGTCAATTGCTTGCACCAGGCAGCCAATGCAGACCTAGTCTCATGAAAGTGCCATGACATATTCCCTGGTATACATAGCACATTTGACATGTGCACAAGCACATCAAGAAAGTGAATATATGGGGCAGATGGCACAAAGTACATGGCCTTCAACATCACCAGACAAAAATTCTCAGTTTTGCTGATCTGTTGTCAGTGCATTGCATAGCAGGTCCATTCAGATGTTCTAGATGTTCTGGAAATAAGCAGCACAAATATCAAAGGTGAATGGCATAACTGCCTAGATTCAAGGGCATCGTTTGCCTTAATGATATTTGCTGTTGCTGCAGTGCCACACCCAGAACACCAAACCCTGTACTGCCATGTACCGCCTAACCATGCACCAAACCCTGTACAGCCAAAACAATGCACCAAATCATGTACTACAGGCAGTAATTACCCTATTACTTCCAGCCATTTGGAAATTTCCTGGAAGTGCATTCAGGACAAAAGGGTTGATACCCCACAGAAGAGCCCCACCCACCTGTGTCATGACCACTATTGGATTGCTACAGTCAATGTTGAAGTATCTCAGCATTTCCTTGACTCTCTGCAAAGGCAGACAGCGCATAGAATCCATCAACTTCAAATTCGCTCCAAAGACAGAGTGCCTTCTAAGGTCCTGAACAATAATTTGCGGAAGTGGCATGCTCGATGTCTTTGCGAAATTGGCGATGAGATTTCCGCAACTATGGTAGTGGTTTCAAGTTGGTGGCTGACGTGCAGCAGATGGACTACACTGCATGTGCTGTTGTTTCATTGGCAGGATGACTATTCCTTCTTCATTTCTCTGGGGTTCATGTGGGCCTGGGGTGTCTTTGGCTGGAGGATTGTCTGGCAGAATGTGGGCTGTTAAAAAACCTGATGCACTTGAACGATTCGAGTTCAGTGGAAATAGATGACACGACCAGTATCTTGTACTTTCACGTTGCCTTCAAGGATTTCTATTTTGTCTTTCATCCTTTGCTATGGAAGCACATCGATGTGCTCAGCATAGGACATTCGTGATTGAACGCAAGCAGGAGATGTAAACAGCATTCAACATTGCTAAGCAGCTGCATTGGTAGCGAATTGTCTTATCATTTCAGTGCACACTACTGTATACTGTACTGCTGTATTGATGTGCTGCTGCACTGCTGCTGTACTGTAGGACGGTGGCAGATTTGTTACGCCATGGTAGCTTTTCGACAGTGGTCACAGGTGTGGATCAATGCAACATCACCACCGCCACCACCACCCCTGCTTATTGGTACCACATGTGAGGCGAAACTGTAAACAGAGACTAAACAAAGGTGAACCACTGCTAGGAAGCTCAAAACAAACTAATCAGATGCACCCAGTGTTTGTGAATTTATGTCAATTTTTGCTAATTTATGTATTGTCAGTCATTCCACAGTTCTGTTCATTCAGTGAAAGGAACAAGTGCTGATGGATGTGGAGTAACTGAGACGGCTAACGTCCATTTCATGCAGTTTGACTACACAAGCCCATTGTTGTCCCCACCTCTGCCCCATTTGCAATGGGATCGCCCTCTGAGTTCAACATTTGGTAGCTGCCACTACCACTGCGCAGCAGCTTGCGCTCTACTATGATGACATCGCCGTACTTTTCATAGTCAAAGGCCTCGGCCTTGGGTAAGTTCGACAGCCTCACAAGCACATTGGCTGAGGGAGCACCCTGTACAGTTTGCACAACCCACACCATTGAGACATAATTTGAAAGACATGGACAGCACTTTAGGCCTGACGCACAAATGCCTACGAGATTTGGAAGGAATGATATTGAGAAGCGTTCTAACAGGCATGAATTTTCCCATGGTGCAGAGTAGTTTCAACAACAGTTTGAAGAAAACTGTGCATCAGTACATTCCATCTGTTTTCAGCAACAAGGCTGTTTGGACTTTCTTGCTCTGGCAATGTCGGCCAAGCACAGTACCAACAACCAAAAGCTGAAAAATGCATAGCATAGATGTGTCCAGGGACCTCAATACTTTTGTCAGGTGCTTCAAAAACTATCCAGATGCGCAATATCCCCCCATTTCAATCTCCTCAAACCCCACGATGCAAGGTCAAGTCATCTACAGGTCAATGCACCAAGTTGATAACATCGAGCTGTTGTCAACGATTTGGCAGTATTTTGTGTAGTTTCAACAGCAATGATTTGATACAATGACAGAAAATCGATCCACAAGAAATCGAGCCTGCAAAGACTGGAGTGCACTGCTGCAACATTCATTCAGCACAATGGGGAATGCATCAATAATGAATTCAATGCCATGATCAACTGCACCTGACAGATTCGAAGCCACAGTTGACAGTGAATGTTTGGGATCAGAATCTGCTACCTTGCCACAAAATGAAACTGAGACACACCCTTGGGGAAACCATGCCGGCAATGAATATATCCACACATAGTGACAGCAGCAGATATTTCAGTAGTTTAGTCATTCAGGCAGTGGCAAATTCAATCAGTACTGTGACAGCATGGACACCCAAACTTACACCCAGTACCTAGTGGCCCACCTTCTTAATGTACTGAGAAACGTTGGTGCCTCTCCCCGTGCCACGGGCCTTCACACCCAAGCAGACCTGCACTGCCTGAAGAATGGCACTCTTGCCAGAGCCGTTCTGGCCTGAAACAAAATTGACGTTCGGCCTGTGCATTCGGGAAAGCGCTAAACGCACAAGCAATGAATAATAAAGTGCTATATTAGAATACAGCAGTGTGAAGTGATAAATTAAAGTAGGCAACACATTAACGCTGTATCGATACACAGACCTAAAACGCTGAGGTATGCCATGGCACTGCTGCCAGCATGAGCCATCTTGTCAGGTGCCAAGGCTCTGTCATATTCTTCGCTTGCCACATCTGTTTCACAAGTTTGTTCTTATAATTTACCAAATTCATTGCACTTAGTGAGAGTTGACGACAATTCAGAATGCTACTGAACAGGTTGCAGTTGCATCGAACACGACTCAGAAAATGAGAGCTACGAGGTTCTTGCTGCAGCTTTAGGCTAATCAGTTGGCAAGCAGTTTGGTTTCAGGCTACTCTGCATTTTCCACAGAGTGTGTGCTACACTACTGGCATCCAATTAGTGCTGCAGTGCAATTCCCCAAGTACCAGCTTCTCACAGTCATTGAACCCCGAGCCCCGCACCAAACTTGTAAAAACTCGTGCTAAAATTCCAATATCACCAAAGAGACTGCAGCATTCCTGGATTGTCTACAAACAGACCACCAACCCACAGATTGCAGTGGGAGATGGAAGAACTGACTGAATGCCATCAAACATACCCAAAGTGCACTTCGAAGTTGTCATGGTTCATGAACTGAACCAGTTTGACAGAAACGATTTGTCCAACAGCGTTGAACTTGTGTGGCAGAGACAGCTTCCTATCCTGCAACACGAACCAGGCACCAAGCCTAGGTCTGTTCTGTTAGGAAGGGGAATCGCCTGGACTTTTGAATGTGATGCAACGTTTGTTTGAGTATCAAGATAACAAGATAGCAACAGGCAGTGGATATTATGTAAACAACAACAAAATGCATGTGTGGCAGGGTGGCATCCAAGACAGGGAGCATCCAACACCAACACATATGGCCAAAGAACACCAACGCTGCATAATCACAAGGCATGCTAACATCAAACATGGCGATGAACAAAGCTATAAAAGAACATGGACAAATTAACACGGAACATCAGGGCTCTCAGAAAACCTGATCCAGTTTGGTTGATAATAAGTGAAAGTAGTTAGATTCTTGTACTTTGATACCCATCCCCACCCTTTGGTTGGTTGATCGGTAATTTCGTGCTGCATACACTTTACAAGGAAGACCACTGGACTGATACAGGCTGCTTGGTATCTGTACAAAAATGGCTCAGCATCAGTGCTATATCCATGCTATGCTAGTTGACTGCACCAAATGGACAGAGCACAAAGTAGAAAGGAACAAAAACAAGTGATGCAGTGTAATTCATGCAGATGAACGTTTTCTATGCCCACATTGCACAGACAAAGGGACCAAGAGTAGTGGGTGGAATATGTTGATAAGCGACAAAGGAGGCACTTAAAGTCATGGCAGCACATCGGCTCCAGTTTTGTGGCTGTTGTGGACGTACGTTTGGCTTAAGCTAGTACAAATCAGTGATAAATACAATCTCAAGATTTCTGTTGCTTGCTCCATATAACTCAGACACATTTGCATCACCACCCAGAGGAAGTAAACAGTGCCATCAACACTTGCCCCGAAAGCAATGGCATTGCATGGTGGAGCTCCACCTAAACGACCGCCTCAGGTGCAGACAGCGCACATTGCTCCCTTTCCATGCACGACTGCTAAACGATAGAAAGCATGTGCATGAATCAACTCCATATCCGCCCAGCTACATCCCGACTGGCCCAGGCAACCTTTGGTCGAATATTACTTCCCTTCTGCCATCTTGTGATGCTCTTTGCGCCATTCAAAGGCTCTCCCATAACTCGCCTGATGCCACTAATCTCAAGCCCGAAACTGCATCTTCCACCGCAGTTTTAGCAAAGACTGTAGTGCGTGCACACTGTTGCAAGCCACCCCTTCTTACAAATCAGCCTGCAACTTCAGCCAAGCGACTTGGATTGCAATTCATTCTCTGCACATCAACATTACTGCCGATCATATTCCTGGCCGTTCGTAGACCTTCTGACCGCAACTCGCAGCCCCCAGGGAAGCGATACTCCCTTTGCCAAAGCGCATGGCCAATGCATGGCCATTGCACTCTTGAGGCAATGCAGGTTCAACGCCTGGTGCCCTCCAGGAAGCCAAACCTGCTCGAGGCACTGGTAGAAAACGCCGTTTTGCGACCCCAACTGCGATGCCACTTGATACAAACTGATGCCATCACAGCTACCCAATTGCGATCACAATCACTGCCTTGGCGCGCCATTTGCTGTCAAAACTGCATAGTAGTTGGCATCGCAATAATGGCGTTTTCTGTCAGTGAGGGTGATGCATGGAGAACAACGCCTGGCTACCAATAGGCCTCCGTTGCGCCATATCGGCATCCGAAGGCGAGGCACACCCATGGCCCTCGGACCTCTTCAACGAACGCTTTCCCGTCTTTTCCATGTTTTCCATTTTCCACTTTCCGTTCATACCCTTTGGGCAATCGACGCAGTCGCATTGGCGCCGCCTGCATTTCAACCTCCAACGCGGGGGAAGAGGACCAAACTCTTCCCAGCGCTTGCGCCCCAACAACAGTGGAGAACAGCGCCTGGCTCGCAGCAGGCCTCCGATGCGCCACGTCCGCATCCGAAAACGACACACGCAGACAGCCGCTGCGCGTTTCAAGAACACCTGCCTACTTGTTCACGCGTTTGGATCTCTAACGGAAGGAGGAGGGGACAGAAATCTCTCCATCGGGGCCCTCCGCTTCGCCATGTCCGCATCCGAAAACGACACCCGCAAACAGCTGCTGGACCTTGCAAGGAACGCTCCCCCATCCGTTGACGCATTTCCACATAGGGACCCGAAACGACACACACACAGCCGCTCGACCCTTCCAAAGAACGCCTTCGCACTTGTTGACGCAATCGGATCTCCAAACGTGGGGAAAGGGGGACACAACTCTTCCTAGCGCTTGGCCCAAGCAGACCCACGCCGAAATCATCGCCGTTGTTCATTCATTGTCGCCGCTGCATTGGCGTAACAGTAGGAGCGCGCATCACGCGCGCAATCTTCCGTGTCCCAGCAGGGCCTCCCGGAGCCGCGCAGGATTGCGTGGCACCGCGGAAGTGACGCCATCCTCCCCACCTGCCGCGGAATGGCGTTGCGCTGACTCGCCATGATCGCCTGGGTCAGCCGTGGGTCAGTCGGTCCGCGGAGCTAATCAATCTTGGAGCCCCTCCGCGATGCGCGGCGCGCGAGCTTTTCCCGCTGGAGGCGGTTCTGGGAGGGGCTGGACTGGGAGGCGGGTTGTGCTCGGCCAGCCAGGGCGGAGTTTCTGGCACTTCCCGCGCAGATTGATCGTTTCTTAATTGCATTTGTCAAATTCTGATGTTGCGCTGGTATGTGACGGTAATGTGCATTGAGAGGTGGCGTGCAAGCACGGCTACTATTTTTTTTTGCGACAGTGGACTATTCTTTTTTGCGACAGTGCCAAACTACTCTTTTTTGCGACAGTGGCGATAATTGATGCGCGAGATGCTGGCATCAGATTTGCCACACCACCCCAGCGCGGTCCACGGGGCCTCCTCTCACAACGGCGCTGAAGGCGCGTCTGTTCGGAGAAGGGACCAAAAGGCGAAACGGGAGCGTTTGGGGATGCCCAGGGTCCCCACCTTGCGGAGGGGGGCTGTCGCTGCCTTTCGGCGATCACTTTGGCGCAGCCGAATTGGCCGAATTGGCCGAGGTTGGAGCCCCCCTTCCTCCCCAGCTGTGTTTTTGCCGTGCTAGCCCCTTGAAATGTGCGCAATTGGCCACACGGGGCGACGGCGCCGCCAACTAGGTCTGGAGAGCGTTGCTCGTGCTGCCGAACGGGGAGGCCATGGCGCTGGTTGCCAGCGCCATTGCCGTCCAAGCATCGACCAAAAAGGCGCCCAGCGCCGTTGACTGGTCACACGACCAGGTTTTACTGCCGGGTGGGGGCACGCCCTGTGAGCCACGATCTGTGGCGGGCTGCCACTGGCGGCATTTCAACGCTAGGCGCAACCTAGTGCCCATTTGGCGCCGCCCGGCCCTGTGCATCACCCAGACCCCAGACAAGCACAGCGTTGACTCGTGAAGTTCGAGCAAGAGGAACAACGATCCCTCGGGCAGCGAACAACAGGGACATCGGCTGGTAGCGGCCAGTGGCAAGTGGCGGGTGGTGGGGGGCGGGGGCGAGCTGGTTCGAAGGTCCCGCCGCCTTCCCAAGCTGTGCATTAGTCACATTCGCTGTCGCAAAAAAGAACAATCCACTGTCGCAAAAAAGAGTAGTTCGGCACTGTCGCAAAAAAGAACAATCCACTGTCGCAAAAAGAAATATTCACCTGCAAGCACATAGCCGCGCGCGGGTCCTGTAACGAGCATCATTCCGAACAAAAACCACGTTTGTCCGACAGGTGGAAGGGTGTTGTTGTTGTAACCACAACTGGTCGAGTATTGCTAACAGCTGGACGCATAAAGGGGTGATGATCATCTCCTCTTGAGGCGTTAGGAATTGCATTAAGCATATTGATGAACGGACAAGATGTCGTTTGAATGTGCATTTGTGTGCTTGTGTGACAAAATGCATTTAGTCGGAGAACAGTGGTTCGTGGGCCCGGCCCAGGGGCTGGTCGTTGTGAATTTGATGTTGGTCATATCTTTGGTGCTTCACGGCACTCGGACACTGTCAGCTGGTATCTCAAAAGCAGCGATGTCTCTCAAGACAAAGGAAATACCCTAACAGTACGTTGGTTTACCACTGAACACTGCAACAAACCCAAACAAGGAAAGAAAACTTCATAAAATGAGTAATTCTGGCCTTGCAGACCAGCAACGCAGCGACAGTGTGATGGAAACGCCATTCAATTACACCACCCATCAGCTGCATTACAATATGGTACAACACTCCATCGGTCCATTCCAGCAAATCGTTTTCAAGGAGCAACCCCATCCCACCGGGACCACATGCTTAACCTTGTATGCCTTCTTGAACAATACCCATTACGGTCAGTGACAGTAAGAGCAACCGGCTTTCGATCAACCAGCCTTACATATCCTTGGCGCGACCAACCAAGAATGTTACAAAGCAACACTTCGCTGACTTACGTTGACCTTGTCAACACCTGGCAAATCAAAGCGGACCAGGTCAACGCTAAGGCATCGATGTTGCAAGCCCAACGCCCACGCATCATTCCTTGCGCAGCCATGCAGCGCCCTTTCGGCAAATTGTGCAAGCACACCGGCACTTCAGCAAATGAGCTGCAAGCCTAGTGCTTGCGCCATGCCAGAAATGGCAAACCTGCCCAGTGCATTATGCCCAGCACATTGTTCGTCGTTCATTCAACCCTCCCCACTTATTGAACGTGTTTCCCCTTGGAGTTGCTGCGCAAGCAGCTCGCGATGACTAATCCTCGACCTGTGACAAGGAGTAGCAAAGCAGTCTTGAGGCAAGTGCACTTGCGGCAGAACACTCCACTGCGGTTCATTCATTGTTTTGGAATTTGAACTGATATTTAAGGCAGATACTGTGTCTTTACGCGATAACAGATAGAATCCCATATCCAAAACAATGCCACAATCAAGGGCCTACATGCGTAGTTTCCCTGATGCCGATGATGATGACTACTACATATCAAGTGCCACGCCCCACGTTTCGGCAAATGCAATCGAGCATATCGTCCAACATCTGCAACGGCAAAACCGCCACAGCAAACAAGACTGCGGCAGAATACTATATCAGCAATACATGGCACACATGAGGACAGAGTACAACACGAGTTACCGTAAGATACAGCAGCATAATTTGCCAACGGCACATTCTCATATCAGCGTTTGTCGTGTCTGGCAGGCAATGCGATCTACGGAATTCACCATCATCATCAGTCAGATTGTTCATCACGATCTGATTTTCAGGCTGGATTTAGACCGGAACTCTCACCACGCAATAACCTCTTTGCTCCTTGGCTGCTAACTGAAATTCATCGTACACAAAACAGCCTATTTTTACCTGTGGCTGGATTTTCGCAAAGCCTACGATTCCGTCAACAGTTGGCGATTCTACGGAATTCAGTAGTTGAGCGTCGCCGCCAGAGCCCAACCGACACCAACAGCAACTTATCGACACCATTTACGTGCACCAAGCCACAACGCCTCTGCTGCTCTCATTGGTTTTAACTTTCAATTCTTCCTAATCTTCTGTTCCAGTCCTGCCGGATTAGTCTGGGGCCAATTCGCACTTTCAGTTGCTGCATTAAGATTGTTATCGCGTGATGTGGTAACGTGATCCGTCATTGCCCAGTAATCTGGTAACGTTGGGATTGTTGCACCAATGAATGGTGGGCGATAGTCATTGTTGCACCATCATGCGTTTTCTGCAAAATACACATCGTAGAGTGTTAACTTTTACGCTTTTCCTCCACATTTTGTTTTCAATATTGCTCCGCCAAAAAAGTCATGGTTGCGTCACCATTTACTAATTTTCTCCGCAACAAAAGGCCAAGCATTACGTTACTATACACAAGGGTTGAATACCCACGGTACATAAGCAAAGTATCATTTTCGAACAATCTCACATTTATTGCTCTTTTCGCCTGATTCTCAGTCATGCCGTTGTAGTTTCGCCAACCTTTTCTTGCCCTTCTCCGCCACTGGTAGGGCACTTTCGCACGCTACTAACCAAGTCACCCTTAATCCCTTAGTGATTAATCTTAATCAATAGCTTGCTTGGAACATCGCCCATCTGCCCACAACATCAGTCCATCAAGCAAACCTGACCGACGCCCTTTTCAGTGAAGCGCCCCCATTATGGGACCTACAGCACAGCGACAGTGGGAATACCGAACAATTCAATACTGCCACTGTCGCTGCACTTTAGTGAACCAACAAGTCCCGTCCCTTCTCACCTTCTGGTTGTCCTTCCAGATGCGGTAGTTCAGCGCCGCCACGAAGCACTGCCACGCGACGTATGACGTCATCAGACCACCGGCGGCAGGGCTGACCTTAAAGTACTCGATGGTGGCCAGGCCGGTGAAGCCCAGCATGACTGCACCACAACACGCGAAAACAGCTCTGCCATCACCACTATATAGTTAGAATGCGCAGTACATGGTGAGGTCGTGCAGGTTTGTTGATAGCCACAATGTTGGAATCATAAACAAATGAAAATTCACTACACATAGAATCATATACACATAAAAGTTCTATTCTCGCAGGACAAGTGGTGCTATAGAGCTTGCTAGTAGTCGGGATACTGCTGCTGTGAGCTTGTGAAGCATTTCTGCTTCCTGGAATTAGGGGCTTATAGATTTAGAGAATACGTTTGTGTCAAACATTAGATTTCAATGAGCTGATCATAGACACTGCTGTGCTCGGGCAAAATAGAAAGCTGACGGCTACCTGACTGCCTTGTTCTGCAAAAATGAATGATGTTCGTGATAATTGAAACATTTCCGCCTGGATGCATATGGCGTTGAGCAATCCAATGATGACGTCATCAGGACGTCTAGCAATAATCGTGCGCTGGACGCGCAACGATTAGATACAGGCGATGGGTGTACTGTAGGCGTGGCATGTGACGCAGAAGCGTCCTTTGAAAGTGAGCAGCCACATCAGGGCCATGGTAGGACGTCATCCGCCATTCAACCGTCAGTCTAGCAAAGGTGACACGACCAGACACAATGCTTTCTCCAATGAGAGAACAAGATGCCATCATGTCTGTCAATGCGCATGGTGCAACAGCACTGATACAATTAGTGGGATGGCTAATTGCGCAACCATATTACATACAGTTTACAACATCACACCGTAGTATATTCAACCCTCCGCATCGAAAATTAACTTTACCGTTTCTGCTCTGCAGTATTTTCAGAGCGTTGTTTAACTATTTGTGTTGCTCCACAAAAGTTTTGTCACTTTTCCACCGCAAACAGAGGACACGCGTTACGTTGCCATGCGGAAGGGTTGCTTACTTCGCTGTACAGCACATTGATATCGTCGATGCCGTTCTTGTTGACATCACTGTGCCCTGGTGTCGTGAGCCCAAACTCACCCAGGACATCGGCGAAGGCGATGTCCAGCCTGCGTGCCTTGAAGAAGATGGGCGTCCATGCGAAGTTGAACACGTACTGCGCGGCGCACAGCCCCAGCGGAAGGGCTTGCGCAGAATATCCTAAAACCGAAGCAGAGCTCAACACCCAAAACAATAGCCAGCGCAAGAATTATTTGCTATTTCGAAACGCGCGTTTCAGCGCTTAAGAGCAATGCCACAAATGGAGCTCATTGTCGAAACTGAAAACATGCGTGGGCCACACATCGCAACCAACCCGGTCTGATCGGTTTGAGTCGGTGATGTGGAGTGGTGCATGGAACTTGGCGCCATTGAATGAATCCTGGGCGGATTTAGAATGTTGGCTCCGGCCGTAAAGGCCGTTACCACTGTTACGAATATGGTGCGTTTTCTTGCTCATGAACCAGCTGTTGCCGCACTGATTGCCGATTAGGTAATTCCCATCCTAAAGTTTGCTTCTCAGCACCCGGAAAGGGTACGACTAGCTCAGATCAACCACTCACATCAGTGGTGTCCAGAGAAAATCGATTGCTGGGTACCCAGCAACTGCACCGGTGCAGTTGTGCATGAAGTTCACAGCCAGCAATGAAACTCCCAATTATGCACCACATTGCATTCATTTCTTGCATATAGAAAAATCTATTCTGTTGACAACCAAAAACGGACAACAGTAATGAAAGAATCGCACATTTGCTACATTTCGGTGTTAAATGCTACAACCTGGTCACCCTAACGGATGATTTAGTTAACTTTATCGCCATTATCGGCACTCCAGTCACCTCCGTGCTTCAGAACGAGCCAAGACGCCACGCCCGTGATTGTATAGAAGGTCGACCACAAGGGGCCGATGGCCCAGTCCTGAAAGTACGCGACAAAGAGATCACTTCAGTGCATCATAAGTGTCTACCATAATCAAAAGATCTGGAATTGCACAGCACTGGGCACAGCTCCAATGCGATCATTGGCAAGGTTGTTACCAACCGTATCCATGAAGACGCGATTTTCACCAATTTCACGTATCAGAAATACGCGATTGCTGCAAGCTCAGCGCCGGTTTATCTCCCGGCAGTGAGGAACGCCACCAGTGTTGGACCCATCTATCCCATAATGACTCAGCATCTATCCCATAATGACTCAGCATCCCGCGGCGCTTGCAGGCTCATCCTGAAAACCTCGCGGAGACGCCCAACGCCACAACCCCCCCACCCCCCTCCACTCACCGGGGGCGTCCACTTCGGCTTCTTCAGCGTCGGAAACCTGTGGCAGGGCGACCACAGCCAAGTCAGGAGCCCGCCGGGGGCCTGGGGGTTCAGTGCCGGGCGATGTTCAGGGCCAGTACTTTGGCCGAGATCGGCACAGGGCGCAACGGCTCTTGAAACCCCTGCGGGGCGAGCGGATAAAATGAACGGACGAGGGTCAAAAGAGAGGGGGGAAAAAGAATGAGGGACGAAAGAGGAGGGGAAAATTGATTACGCATCTTCATGTGAGGGACTAAGAAACACGTCTTGAGTGGCCGTCTTGGCCTTCATGATGCAATGGGGCCCCTGTTGTCTTTTCGATCGCAAGTTTGGGTTAAACGGGGTGGGGTGGGGTGGGTGTGTGGAAGGGGCCGCACCAGTCCTTGACGTCCTTCCCGGTCAGGAGTCCCCCAACCATGCCTTGGACGATCGGCACGCCGATGAACAGCGCCTGGCGCACGGAAAGCCCGAGAGTCGGGAATCGGGGACCCGTACGCGAAAACCCTGCGACTGCATTTGTTGAGGCGCAACGGGCCTCGCGCCCGCGGGGGGATGTCGGCACGGCAAAGGAAGACGGGGGCACGGCAAAAGGAAGACGGGGGACCAGCAAAGCCCGACAGTGAACCCAAAGCACGATCCAGGACCAATGCACGCAATGGACCGATGCCCAATTCGAAGCTCCTCATCACAGCACATCCCACACGGCCACGGCATCCTCTGCTTCCACCACCGTTGGCAGCAGCTCAAACAGAAAGCAACCAAGGGGGGGTTTGGCCATCGGATGGCCCATTTCAGCCCTGTCAGCAACTGCGGCCTCACCAGGGAGGCTGCCTGCCCCATCGCAGCCGCGCGCCTCGCAAAGAACCTCCGGAATCTCCCAAGTGCTTCGACACAAGTCGCCCACCGAACCCTTGAGGCGCAGCAAACGTTGAGGACGGGCGTTGCTCGCGTCTCCTCCCATTCCGGAGCCCGGTCCTGTACTTAAGCGCTTTTGCGCCCAAGGTGGGGCAGGGGACGCGCTGTGGAGTGACGCGTTTGTTGGGTCGACACGCGCGGCCTGCCACGAGCTGCTGAACGGGGAAGGTGTTACGTAACGGCTTGGCGTGCTGTGGGGGCTGTTTGGTGGGCCGGGTCGCACTTTCCAGAAAACGCTTAAGAGGGATGGCATGGCCGACCTGGGGACTTTGCGGCGCCCTGCTGTGCTGAACAGTAAATCGCCAACTTCAGCGGAAGTTCATTACGATTGCGCGAGGTCCCAGCACGCTGGGAGGTCAGTCCTGCCAAGCTAGGAGGTTAGGTCTGTTAAATGTAATGATCATCATTATAATATAATGTGTCTTGATGGCAGGCAGGGCGTTTGACTGAGATTGGTTCTGATGGGCAAATTAATACAACGATAAAGAGAAAAAGGAACAGCACCTGAGTATGACACGAGAAAGTAACAAGGATATTGATTCTGGAACAGTACGTGGGGACTTCCCACGCATTCGCGACTCGGCTACACAAAGAAGTTTTTTGTACAACTTTCCTCACTGGGGAGTCACACCAACTGGCCAACTTGGCTCGCGAAGTGGCCCGTATACGTGTGTACCGTATATACATATACCATATATGGATCGATTGGGTTTTTTTTGGATCTCCGAGAGAAACTAGCGAGCTCAGCATCAAAGAGAGCAGCGCCACATCAGAGCACCATAACATTCTGTGCCAGGGGTGATTGCAGGACCGGTTTGCAGCCCCAATCATTTCCAGTCTGTTCGATGGCCATTACGTGTGACTGCCCGTCAAGGCTGATGTCACGGCCACGTGTGTACACTCTAGAGGATATGCCCAATCCAGATCCCCAAACAAAGGGATCCCAAGGACACACAATAACCTATTACTACTCCAGCTGCAAATGCACAGGCCAGCTTAAATTGGACTGGGCTGGTAACTGGACTAGCAATCACACCCGCCACAGGTTGTGACGTGACGGGTGCTGCGTCCCTTTCCTGCCTATTCTGGTAGCGCCTTACGCGCTCAGAATTCCACAGAAAATTCAATTGCCCTTTCAGTCTGGCTATTTCCTTGGCCAGATTGGCAAGCTGGAGAGATTCCCCGTGCATTAAAGGGCAAATGAGGAGCCCGACCAGTGCACCTACTTTCCGAATTAGTCCTGCAGCCCTCGCTGTCAATACTGGTCCTTGGACAATCAAATTAATACTGGTTAGGGTTAATAGAGTAGAACCAACTGCCTTACAAAGTTGGGATAGTTGGTTAGGGTTTACAAACACTCTTGTCCAATCCTTTATATGTTTTCCAGGATTTTGGACACCTTCAAACGAGACCAGCACATCATCTGCATACAGCTGGACGTCCAGCTTTTAGGATTAAAGTATTAAGGCTCTGTGTGAGTTAATTTTCAAAGACTTTCTCTGACAGCTCGTTCCAGCTTTTTCGCAGCTGACGAGCTTGACCTTCTGTCAAAGATGGCTTCTGAGTCTTTTGTGTGTCTTTATACAGGTCAACCTTCACTGGAGCTGGGGGGCACTGGGATGACACAACTTTTACCACAGGAGTTTGGACTCTGATTTCCTGGTTTAGTTCTTTGGGGCTCTCCTCAGTTTGACTCATACCTTAGAATCTTTCATGGGACAGCATTTAGAGGAAAACGAGTGAGGTTTGTATGTTTCCAATTTTGTAATAATTTTGCAATATTTCCAATCTCTACCCCTCTCCAGTACTGGACCTTACTGAGGCAGTACTTTGTCTGCTGCTCGCTAACCCTGACTAAGCGCTGAACCAACTCAACTTTTCCTTACCTTTACTACTTACCTCCTTTCCCTTTATGTTCAATCAAACGCTGACCAGCCTGTAATATGGCGAATTAGCACGTCCAGTCGCTGTCGCCAATTGACCTCTAAGTTGTTATAGTAGTTATATATCTTCTTAGACTTTGTACTTTAATCTTTACTACAGTACTTTAGTGGGAGCCCCGAAGGCTTCCCCACAGAGTACTGGGCTGGATCTGGGACCCCGTAGGCTTCCCCAGTAAATCCAAACCAAGGGAAATTAGCTGAATATACAGCCGGTTTGGGGCCCCGCAGGTTTTCCCAATAGACCGGGTTAGTTTAGTTTGTATTCCCTTTAGTTAGACAAGAAATAAACAGAATCCAAAATTAAATTACAGTGTGATTCTCCACGAATCACGACCTGTATTGCATTTATTGGTTCAGGTTCCGTTCCCAGGTTCCTTTGCCTATTGGCTCAGGAGCTGGTCGGTTCAAACTCGCTTGTCCAAATGGGTTCCCACCCCTCTATTTATACCCCACAGCCACTGTCCCCACGCCCAAAAGCCCCCAGAATATTCCCCCAAGGATTCCGATCATCTCCAGCCAGCTTCCCGGATCATCCCTTCCCCGTCTAGTCAACTTCCCGCTCAAACCCGATCAGGCACTGATCACCGCCCCTAACTTCACCAATCATCCCCCAGAATTCATTCATGTCCCCCTCATACCGTAAGGGTCAAATCAATATTCCTCTTAGTATACCCATTCATCCTTCTCCCAGCACTACTCACCGAATTGACGCATCATACCCCCTCTGATTCAACACTCAGAGTTATGATTACCTTGCTCACCAAAACACCATATCAAACATCAGTAGTTAGTTACCAATATTAACTTATTATCCAGCCAGCGATTCCCAATTTACTATTCATCGTACTGCCTCAGACCAGCCGGGGTATGACAGCCCAGTCATCCCCACCATTCTCCACCAACCTTTTGGCATCGACGCTTTGATCCATGTCGGTCTCCATGTCGTCGTACACCAGCAAGTCCGCTTCGTTGGCGCTGTCCTCGATCACGACGTAGCCCCTCTGCGCCTCTCCAGCGACCGTCGCCACCTCCACCTGCGCCGCGCCAACTCCAGCCGCTGCCCTTCGCCATCAGCGACGTCCTCAGCGCCTCCTGACTCTGCCCCACCACCTGCTGCCCGATCGCGCATGCCCCAAGCCTTCCGCCGCCTGCGATCACCTGATTCCATCCTCGCCCGCTTCCCCACGCCTCCGCAGCGGGCGCCAGCACCTCGATCGTGCACACCATCGCTGAGCAGGCCTTCAAATCCAGCACCTCGCCTGGCCTTCCGTCATGCCATGGACGCCAACATCCCTTGGGGCCATCGTAGGTCCGCCTGGGCATGCAAGTCCACGCATGGCGTGACAAATCACAGCCATGCGAGCAGCACCGCCATGCCAATTCGACTTCGCCATCGTCATCGTCCTAGCACCTTGGCAGCCGCGCTATCGCAGCCCCATTCAAGTCCATCGCTGCAAGTCACCACCATTGTGCGTGCGCCTCAGAGGCGCCCCACAGCTCGGAGTCCAAGGTTGTCGTACGACATCGAAGGCAGCTATGACACAT